TCATCAGCTGTATTGAATGAAAAGGTATGAGGTTTATAGGACAAATAGTTCCAGTATCTATAACGTAGAATTGGTTTCCCCAATAACTAACTCCCTTTCTTTTTCAAAATACAGAAACAATTGTCTCCACAATTCAGCTTATTTTTCTAGCTGAAAGCTATTAGAACGATACAAAGAATGATTGTGATTAACATTCTACTGTAGGAGGACTGAGCCCTGGGGGAGTCTAACCCCTCCTCTCCCAGAAATCCTTTCATTTCCACATGCCCTGAGCTGATACTCTACCCCAGGCAGTTTGTGCTGGCTTTGTGTTCCTGGAAGTCTTTTTCTTAACAATGGGGTGTGAGGTAGGAATGCCACAAAATGCTATGGTAGCTACACACTTTCTATGGACTTTCCTTGCACCGTAGTACATAAGTAGGATAATTTTTCAAGCAGAAGGGTGGTTTTTCACTCATGCTCTATGAAAAAAGGCTGGGATGGGGAGGAAAACTGGTAGCCTCTCAGTATGTGGAACCTGCCCCTTAGTCCAGCCAGTATGGCTGTAGCAAGACAGTGACTTGTTATGGCCCAAAATGTTTGACAGACATTAGATAATCTACTGATGCCATAAACATTTGGTTGTTTCGTGTGGGCACTTACTAGATAGATAATGGTCTTGAGGTTCTGTATTGCAGGGCTTTTCACAGGTTGTACAACTTTTAGGTCATGACAATATTTGAGTACCACCAGTGCTTAGCAAGGTGTCAAAAACTTAATGACTGAGGGTTCCGGGTCGCAGTGCTGCGGTCGTACGAAGAGACTCATCTCTTCGCCAGCCAAGTTTCCCCCGCCGGTAGACCCTTGATTGGGTCGAAAGTCGCCCTGGAGGGGTGACCACTGTTGAGGAGGCTGCCTGTTTGACTGAAGAGGGGTGGTGGCGCCCTCTGCAGTCCAAGCGAGCTTCTTTGGGCCGACAGAGTAAAGATTGGTCAGTAAAATGGCCAATCACTTAGCTGCACCAGCTGTAAGCCACAAGAACATCTAAGCGAAATAGAACCACTGTGGAAGATTTGGTGAGACCTTTCCTTGCCTCTCCTTTTCCTATTACTCCTGTGAAAAGCCTTTGGAATCATTTCCCTATCTTTTTAAAGTGGCTTTGTTGATGGGGGAAGAAAAGCCTTGGAACAAAAGAAAAATTAATTTTAACTTTTTCAATGATTGATTTTATTTTTGAATATTTGGGAGTCCTAAAATCCCTGTTATAGAAACTTAATATGCTAGCAATTTGGAGAATTTTTTTCTACTATTTTTATAACTAAAGAAAAGAAGGAAAAGAGGAAAGAAATTATTTTTATTGGGGGTCTGGAAAGACTGAACAACTGGTTAACCCTCTGGGGACATCTTGTGGTGAAATTATGTACTGCAATTGTTATTCCCTTTCTTTGGACTCTGGCTTTGACCTTCAAATTATCTCAAAAGGGAAAGATAAAGAAGCTGTATAGCTGGGTGGAAGCGGATATTGACTGATTGTTATTAAATACAGCCTCCACCAAAAGAATAATGGCTTTATATACTACTGAGATGGAGGAACTCTGTCCAGATTTCAATTACAAGTATATATTGGACAAAATTCTTGAAAATACTGAACAAATAATTGCCTATACAAAACAGATTATTTTTCAACGACAAATCAAAGCGCAAGGTGTAAGTGAGCACTTTGTAAGCCAAGAAACAGCAGAAGGGGTATATACTCAAGAGATCCGTCTTCAGCCTTATCCACAAATTACTGAGATGGAAGAATTAAACTTATGTCAGGACTACCAACCTACACCGGAAAAAACTTTTGATGCTAATGAACAAATGACTTTTAGCATGGAAACTAAGGATGTTACCCCAGAAGGGCAGGCTGATCTCCAGACTCCAACTGATTACCTGACAGATAAAAAACCAATAGGAGGAGAGCAAAATAATATTAAAGAAGACTCTACATTATTTTATAGACAATCTGTTGAGACTTTGGATAATTCAAAAATGACTGTAATTAAATTAGACACAACTCCAAAAAGATGAAGATGGATGTTCAACCACGAGCTATTGAGAATCACTACAATTTTTTTACTAGCCTATTAAAATGGACAATGGGAGATTCTCCCCTGATTTATGTGTTACAGCAAGAAATGGAGGGAGTTTTATTTGCGGACTTAGAGGCCTTACTATGGAAACCCGTTTGGAAGAGAAAGAAAGCTAGAATAAGATATAAATATAGAATTTAAGATTACATTTATGGGTTGTAATGGCTTTATAGTGATGTGGATTGATTTGGATTTGGATTTTTAAAAGGTGTTTTTAGGATAAGATTTAATATTGAAATATAGTAAGAATATATTTTTTGGAATAATAGATCTTCCTTCTTTTCTCTTTCTTTTTCTTGGTTTCTTTTTGTTCCTTTTTATTTTTTTTCCTATTTTTCCTATGCTTTTTTATTATTAGATATGATAGTTAATTTGTGGAGCTATAATGATAAAAAGATTGTAATGATGGAAGAGATGAAATTAATAAATGAAGAATTACTGAATAAAAAATAGAATATAGTTCAGAAATGTAAGAATGTAATTATGGAAATAATATGCTTAAATAAGAGAAATTATGGACACCCGAATTGTAAATAATATTTTTGTTTAAGGCTAAGTTAGATATGATATTTGGAAATTAATAAACCTAAAAACAGGGTCTGATTTACATCGATGAAAGGTTGCTGATAACTTCTATTGATTAATTGAATTCTTACTTAGGAATGTATTAATGAATTAATTTTACTTAGAAATGTATTAGTTTGACTATACTATTCTAATTGTTAGAGAGGGAAATTTTAAGGAGTATTATTTGAGCTATATATGTATGATGTTATTGTACCTAACTGATTACCCTATCTCCACGTTGTTTCTTAAGCGTTCTGGTGTAAAAATGGAAAAATCAATAAAATTGTTTGGAGAAAAAAAAAACTTAATGACTAAAAAGGGGAGGGGATTTTGGGTTTTACTGATTAGATTCCTTTGTTGTTATAGAAATAGCTAGTTTATAATATGGAAAAGTAAAAAGTTGAGGTTCAATTATAATGCTTCCATCTACTGCAACAGAGGAAGTCTGTTCTTTTTCCTTTCTCCCCCTCACTTTTCCCCCCCTTTTCCTCCCCACTGTGTCCTACTATTTGTTTTTGTATTTTTGTATTTTATTCTATAATCTAATAAAATATTACAAACTGTAGAAAAAAAGGAAAAAAGTACCAATTTTAATTTCTTCTGTGGCTGTTCCTTTGCTGAATCACTTTCTCTTTGCACTGACAAATGTGTGGTGAATTTATCCATGTTTATTAATATGCACCACTACCAGCTAGCATCAGGGGTTTTCAAACTTGGTACTTTTAAGACTTGTGGACTTCAACTCCCAGAATTCCTCAGCCATCATGGCTGGTTGAGGAATTCTGGAAGTCCACAGGTCTTAAAGTTGCTAAGTTTGTAGACCTCTGAGCTAGCTGGTCGGCTCTTCTTCCTCTCTCCCTTCTGAGCTCTTTCCACAGTGTAGTAAGACTGCACACACCCCAATCCCTTCCCTGTACTCTTAAAGACACAAGAATAAAGTGCAAAGCAAGAAAGACTCACAAAATAAAGAAACACATAAACTCTGGAGGTGGGGGGGTGTTCTTTAAGCTGTCTCAGGCCTGTCACAATGTTGCAACTTGAGGACTGAAAGGCTCCAGCAATTGTGAAAGGCTTTAGCCTTAAATTAAGCCTGTTTACTTTCAAAGAAAACTTTCTAAAAGCCATAGACAGACTCAAGATAAGGGGGTAAAACTAATTACATTTGTTTAAAGGGATTAATCCTACAGAAGTCAACACTTTGGACTCATTGCTAGTGTAAAATACAGACTAAAATATTCCAACAACCACAAGCACACAAACCGACCCTCTGAATTACAAAACGCTGTAAAAACTTTACAAAAATCCTTATAATAACCTAAATCAAGCTGCCAGCTGATCCAGAACTAAATAAACCCACCTCCTTTCTGACATGCTCATCTGCTAGCTTTTTTATTTCATCAGCACTGATTGCATTCTCCTGGCTGGAGAAAACGAACCAGGAGACCTTTTCTTCAAGCAACAGCTGCTGCTTCTTCCCTGACTCTTTTTCCTCCCTGCCAGCTGAGCTCCCCTTCTCTTTCCCTGTTGTCTTTTTTTTCCCCTTTCCCACCCAAACCACCTCCTTTTATAGCCTCTCATCTCCTTCCCTCTCTCCTTTTTCTTCAGTTCACCTCCAGCTCCGGGGCTGCTTCCGGAAGCGCCAATCAGCTGGCTCCTGGGGCTTCTGCAGAGCCCAGACAATCCTGCAGCTGCAGCTGCTTCTCTCTCAGGCTTGGGTCGCTTCGGCTAATTCCCCTCTCCTGCTACACTTCTCTGGGATTGTTGCATACCATCTGCCATGTGGCAAAGTACCACAGGTGGTATACGTACCAGCGGTTGAAAAGCCCTGCTGTATTGGTCCAATAATCATACCTTAAAAATCATCTTGTCTACTGCAATTAATTCACAAATGGGAAGTGGATGCTTTCAACTTCTGACTGCTGCATTAGAATATAAAAAGAGAAATAACCTATTCTGGAAGGTCATGCACTTCCAGAACTCCCACTTATCTTAAGTACTCGGTGTTATTTCCTGGTGAGTGATTCTATTCAAGAAAAGCAGGTCCATATATGAATAATGATCCATATATGAACATTGCTTTAACAGAGAACAAGAAAAAAATAAGCCACAAAATATTTACTTAGATATTTGATGCTTACTACCCATCCATAGATGGAATAGACAATATAATATGCTTTCAAAGAAAAAAGAGGCAATTGTTTGATTTTACATGAAATACATGTATAGGTATTTTAATTATAATTAAGCAAATGTTTAAACTTTGCAAACAATGAATATTCCTTAAGTAAAAAATCAATTTTCAATTTTTAATTCCAGTCTACTTTATCTACTAACTCTTATTTAGAGAGTTGACAAATTTATTTATTTTTAAATGCTGGTCAATTACTTTCAGTTGCGGTTCATATATTCCTTCTATATGTTAAAGCTAAAATTAATACATTAAAAGTCCTTGAAGTATTTAAGGATCCGTAAAGCATTTTGAGACATTTTCTGTAAAAATGTTTTCAATTCTTATGACCTCTAGACTTTTAAAATTGCAATGCACTGGTGCTTTAATTCTACTAGAAATTCCTAGCACAAAATTAATGCTGTTATGAAAAGGATGGTTACACATGATTGACTTATCCTGTGAACAAAGAAAATATGCTCAGCAATGTCAAAAGATAACATTTCTAGCAATCATATTGCTGCCCCTCAAATTTAACTTTTCTAAATTTGAAATAATAGATATAAGTAACTAGGAACTAAATAACTTTTGATATAATTTGATGGGAATCTCCCAGCAGTTTATCACTAAGATCAGCCTACTCTTTGGCATCTCCTATTCCTCCAGCGGTTATTGCAAATGTGGCTTCATTTTCAGGCATTTCAGGACTGGAAAAAAAAAGCATTCTTTTACTTTCCTTTTGGAATTGTGTAAATAAATTAAGGGATATTATGCATGATAGAACTGGCTGCAGAAATCCAGAAAACACTAGATGGTGGGGAAAGGGTAGTATTCTGTATCATTTTCCCCCCATACAGTGGTGGGATTTCTGCACCCCAGATCCTATAATCCTATACATCAGGGGTCCCCAACCCCCAGGCTGCAGCCCACTACCAGCCACTAAAATCCCATTCTGCATATCGAGGGGAACTGCCTACCCTGCCTCAGAAAAGAGCTTCTTTGATCTGTCCACTTAACAAATGTGGTTGCTTAACAACAATCCATGTGGTAGTTAACGAGAACTGAATTGCAGTTGTTAAGCGAAGCAGTCATGTGGATGTCTTGCTTAATGGTTACTATGACTTAACGACCAAAATTTTGGGCTCAATTATGGTTGCAAGCCAAGGACTACCTGTATGAAGGTCAATGATAAAAGGATTGTATTGAAAGTTACATTATATTATGCCCCCATCAGTAGAGTTTTATATTATTTTTAAAAAAATCCCTTGGAGGGGAAAAATTTCTCTCTGTTTCTCTATTTTTTTACAATGCTGGGTGGTGTTTTCAGTTACATTGAGTACCAAATATTGAGGTAACCAGTTTGATCTTTGAAACCATGATACACTGCTGGTAACTGGTAGCATATAGTTTCTTGAGGGATGAAACTTGCTGAAAAAGCAAACATGGGTGGCTATATGTAACAACATGCTTCTGTCCAATGTGTAACATAGAAGTTAAGAGTTGGAGATGTCAGGAGAAACATAAACATTTAATGCCATATAATTGGGTTGTAAAGAAGCATGTGTCATAAAACAAGAAGTGACAGTGTCAAGTATAAATGGATAATAATTCTCTTCTTGGTATCATTATTATGGTTATTATTACTCTGTTGTTTTGCATGTACACTGAGAGCTTATACACTGGAGACAAATTCCTTCACACTTGGCCAAATAAATATTCTATTCTACTGTATTCTATTCTGTACTGCAATGTATACTATAATATGCTATCACAAATGACTACATTAAAGTAATTTAGTTATATTTCTGAATTTTTTACAAACTCATTTAAAAGCTAGAACCCAAATAAGATACAATGATTACATAGAGTATGTTGAAGTATAGTGTACTGTACCAGTCAGTTTATATATTACCTATCATATATTTTGGCAATACGTAATTCTCCTCTTCCCTTTCGCAAACTAATCCTCGTTGTAGAAGCATGAGCAAGAATATGGCCTCCAATGGGTTTCTTGGGATCAGCCTGAAAGCTACATTAAATAAAGACAGAGCTGTTATATTCAAATATGGGAAATATGGCCTATAGTTTGCCATGAGAAATAACAATATTAACAAAATAACTTTCTTTTAATTATTGTGTGTTTGTCTGTATGCCTTCAGATGAGTGTTGATTCCTGCACAAGTTCCTGCAGTTTGATGGTTTAACCACTATACTAAGCACTCACTTTCTCACTCTCGTTTTCCCAAATATTACTTATCATTAACTTTATTAATGTTGGACAAAGAGGGGCAAAAACATAAAAAATAATAACCAATCATTCCTCAATTTATAGCACAAAACTGAATCTGAATACAAATGAGAATGTGTATAACAGAACTAATGCTTGACAAAAAGAAATGAATTTTTGACTCAACATTCTTTCCTATTTCTGAAATTACAGTCAACTGACCCATCAACTACTGTCTTTATACAGGGAGCTAGGAACACATCATTTGCAAGTAAGCTTTGGTAGCAAGCTTGCTATGAACTTAAAAACTAAAAATAATCTGCAATGGGAAAACAAGATACTGTGTGAGTCTTGGTCCCTTTCAAGATCATTGAAGGAGAATCCCCATTGGTCCAATCTGAGATCCTCTAACTCTATTCTAAATGCAAATAACAGCTTTAAGAGGAGGACTTTTCTCCACATGAGGCAAGAGAAGTAGTTGCATTCTGCCCAGTTTTGCTCAGTAACTTTCACCTCATTTTCCAAAATACTTTTTAACATTTGCATTCTAAATATAAAGACTCATTTAAACTACATATCTAGTTTGGACTGTTCAATCATTTTTCCTATTTGAACTGACATTCAGATGAACTATTTTCCTAGAATCCCTTATTAGTATGGTTCTAAATAAAACTTGAGTCTTCTTTGAGTCTCTAGAGTACCTTTTTCTAAGGTTTAAAAATATCATTTAAGAAATCCTATTTATGTGACTTATGAACAACATTAATAATAATTTGCTTACGTCATGGTTGCTCCAGGATCAGAGGTCATTTGGTTAGTCACAAACACAGCCACATTATATTCTGGAGTAGGAAAATTAGGCCAAAAGATGGGATAGCCATAAAGAGAGAGAAAAATATTCTGCTAGTATTCTTTCCACGATTTTTAAAAATCATTTCAAATAAACCATGCTTATAAAACTCTCCACAATATGGAAAAAACATGAAGATCTGTTTTAATTACTTATACAGATAAAATAGTATTATGGAAAGTTTTCTAACTTTCAGATGTGTGGACATCAAATCTCCAAATTCCCCATTGCTGAGAATTCTTGCAGTGAAATATATATATATATATCTGGTAGATGCCAAGATTGAGAAATACTAGTTTAAAAAACAGCAGTATCAACTTAAACCAGATCATTAAAACCAATTAAAAGGTGTTATATAGGTCTAATTAAAGCCAGTGTCCTTTTGCGGAGTACAAATATGCAGGGAGTACTACTAAAAATACTCCATCCCTTATGTCTGTCGGTCTCACTGGGACTTTCAAAAGAGAAAACAGATTACATAAAATCATGTGTTTAACCTGAGAAATATTTCTCCCACCTTCTGATATTTTCTGAAGCCTTGAGAGCATCTGAGCAAGTTTCTGTTGCCTTTCAGCTAATTCCCCACGACCACTAAAATCCACACGAAACAGTGCCATAATGGAATCTATTATCTGTACATTAAATGTAAAAAAGACATTTGTTCATGAGAATAAATTATTTAAAAGATTAACATATTAATTAAAGGCATGGAAGTATTAGTACCGCTTTATAAAGCCTTAGTAAGGCCATACCTGGAATACTGAATCCAGTTTTGGTCACCATATTACACAAAAGATGTTGAGACTTTGGAAAAAGTGTGAAGAAGAGAAACCAAGCAACTAAGGCCTGGAGACTAAAACATATGAAGAAGAGTTGCAGGATTTGGGTTTGTCTAGTCCAGAGAAAAGAAGGGTTAGAGATGACATGATAGCAGTATTCCAGTATTTGAAACGTTGCCACAAAGAGGAGGTGGTCAACTTATTTTCCAAAGCACCAGAGGGCAGGACAAGAAACAATGGATGGAAATTATTCAAGGAGAAAAGCAACCTGGAATTAAGAAGAAACTTCCTAACAGTGGGGACAATTAACCAGTGGAACAGCTTGCCATCAGAAATTGTGGGTTCTTCATCCCTGGAGGTTTTTAAGAAGAGAGTGGACAGACACTTGTCTGAAATGGTAAAGGTCTTCTGCTTGAGTAGGGGGCTGGACTAGAAGACTTCAAACATTCCTTCCAGCTCTATTCTGATTGATTGATTGACTGATTGATTGATTGAAGCATATAATAAACAGGACTATAAAATATATACCAGTAGTTTGAAGATGCCAGGTTCCTCATGGAATTTGCCAGCAACATAATCAAGTAGTTCCATTTGATGCTCACCTTTCAAGGAAGAAATAGTAATAATAATAACACTTGTTTTAAATCAGAAAAAAAGTACTTACTAGGTAGACCAAGATGTATTGTAGTTGAGTTCTTGTTACAACAGACGTAACTAAATCTTTAGTATCTTTAGCTCATTATTTTTAAAACATTACTATAAAATAATTTCAAAAGAAGCCAAATACTTAATATTTGAAATCCTCTCTTGAAAATTCTGCAAAGCATGGTAATTAATATTCGTTTCTAGCTCAGGTCACATTAATGTTTATATACCTAATTATAAATATTGCCTATAATTCTGCAATATTTCCATATAAAAGTCATGTGTAATGTCATGTTCAGACATTTGATGTAACTTACCTAATTTATGTATTTATTTACTTAATAAGATCTAATTTACTTTGTAAAGCTTGCAAAAATACGGTCTTATCACAATAACTTTAAATAAACATTTAAAAGAGTTTTTAATACAGAATATTAGAAAAAGAAAACGAATTAGCTTTATTGCATTAATTTCCTTAAGAAAAGAGTCCCCTGTGTGCTATAACAAACCTCATTGTACAAAATTCATATAATGCAGTGATATGGTTTCAAGGGAAGGCAATATAAATATTTCTTTCAGGAGGAGAAATAAACTGATAGATAATATGTTCAAATTTTGGGAAATTTTATAACTCAATCTTATGTGAAAAGTACCCTGAGTATATTCACAACAGAAACATAAATTGAAAAATAGACATAATTCCAGTGATAACCCCTTGATGCATAATTGTTCCTTCTTAAAGTGAACAGGATTTATGTGCCACCTTGTTGCAATCTTACTAGTATAAGCCCGTGCATACAATACATTGTCAAGAACTGCCTCATGATCTGCATTGAAGCGATCAGCAATGTCACGTAAGCGGTCTGGACGACTGGAGTTGATTCTTGTTAAGGTATCTGATTTTTAAATCAGTTTTCAGATATATAGCTGAAGCCCATATGTAAAAACAAATATCTCCTCAAAATTGAGCACTTCCAGATGCTAATTCCCCCTTTTAGTAACCATGTTCTTTTGATTGCCAGATGTTACTTGTGAACTAGTCTTGATGCAATGCAAATTTCCAAAACTTACAATTAAAAATATATTTGTATTTTTACCTCACTTGAAGGACAAATTAAATTCATGTTCCATTAAATTCATCCTGTGTTTATGTGTTTTCCCATTTTAGTGACTTCTCACCATATTGCCTGTTCTTAGTTTCTTGCATTTAACATCCTGCCTAACTTAGGGAAGCAAATTAGTTGACATACTATTTTCACAACTTTGGATTCACCTTGACTGACAACATGAAGATGTTCTCCATGAGTTCCAGACTGACAAGCCTCATGGTGAAAATGCTTGTGTCTTGAAAATTGGGAGAACAACATGTACAGTAGAATCCAACTAGGTATTATAATACATTGCAAATGAATGGCAGATGGGAAGATCTCTCCACTGCATTTCATATAGTAAATTTGTTTAATTAGCATTCACCTTCTCCTGTCTATACATTAAATGTCTCTTCTGCTTATGTTGTACCATAAACTCAAATTTAAAATGTATTATTAACACTGTATAGCAAATCCTTTCACCGTGTTCAGTCGACATAATATATTCAGGATACAATGTGTTTTCCGTGTCAATGAAAATAATCTTCCCTCCTGTATATCCATCTGCTCCTGGAAGTTGGGCTGTCACTAAATGAATCATAATAGTAAGAAATTTTCAAATTTTCAAATATCCAAAATCAAAGAGTTACTGTCAAAACAATGAATGGATTTTACATTAAATCTCCCTTTTTCTATGGGCCTCTGCATCAAAAGCTCCATGCTATTATGTTAAATAGGAGTAAACATCAAAATGAAAGAATTTAACTTATTCTAAAATCATGAGTACTAATGGTGGTAAGGCCTCGTATAGATTTGTTTTTGTTATTGTATTTTATATTGGCTATATATTTGTATTTTCTTCCTTTATGTTGTATGTTGTCTTAAATAAATATTTGCAGATAAAAAGGGACTGGAAATATTGCTGCAGCCCTGGATGAAATTGAGAATATTCTAGTGGTATAGGTACTATTTCCTTCACACCCACCTTGTATAATATAGTAAAATAGAAAACTCTGAGGATGCTGTAAAATGGATGTTGTCAGAAACAATGGAAGAAATCTCATCATATCAAGTATTCTGATCTGATGATATGCCAGCTGCATACCTAGTATAATCTGCTTAACCTAGCTGCTCTTCTTTCCACCAGCATGGAGATTCTGATAAAGTTCTGAGCCTGAGCATTTAAAACATTTCTTCTATTGTAATGATTTTGGAAAATACCTCCAGGTAGATGATATTGCTAAGAAACATGCCAGACCAATTCCTATAGTTCTTTCTCTCAGAATATGGCTGCTTTAAATACACGGTATAACTCATTTCTCTGTAATCTGGCATCTAGGGACTTGCTTTTATACTAAGGAGTCAGAAAGGCTGAAGGCAGGATTAGTGTTATCATTACCAAGTAAGAGATACAATCCACCACTGTAGAGAAGAAAGCAATTTCTTCAGCTAGTTTAGAATGTTCACACATTGTGTGTGTTTGATTTTAAATACCATCAGCATATTTTTGCATATTGAACAGGCAATTTTCAATATAACTATTACTTGATACATACCACAAAGAGTATGGGAAAGTTGAGTTTTGCCTGTTCGGAATTCTATAAAAACAAAAATTTAAAAAGTGAAATATTGTAAATAGGGGAAGTCAGTCATGCAAGGATACCATAGTTAGTTAGTCCAAAGTTTTTTGTTTGTTTGTTTCAAAGACTAACACAACTACCTCTTTGAAACCATATCTACTGGCACAAAAGCTCCAGTGTTCAGATGAACTCCCTTTTATAAGGATGTATACTTTTATATAAAAACATTATTTATATTCTCACATAATAGAAGGATTGATTGTATATGCATGATAACATGCAGAACTTCATTATCCAATGAAATTAATATGAAAACCACTCAGTAGAGACATTTGATGCAGAAAGGAAGATGGTTTGACAGAAATAGGCAGATAGGGTTGAAATATTCTTGAGGTCTGAGGAAGAAGATAGTATTCAGAAGTTATTCAGATAGTCTTCCTGATTCACTGGGATATAAGAAGAAAGACTGCAAGATTCTGTTACTGAGTGTAGCTTTAGTCATCCTGTGAAGTTGATTTTCAGGTATGGTCTACCTACTCAATACTACCTAGTATATACTTGAAGTTCCACTCAGTTCAACTAGAAACAACATTTATGAAGTGATACAGATTTAAAATATTTAAAAAATATTTACATATTATTAAGATGGTATTAAATCATTTTAATAATGGATTTAAGGGTTTAAAGCAGCTTTCCCAGTTAGCCATGATAAAGATGCTCTGGAATGATTACCACAAGAATTCACAACCCAAATATCTTCAGGGAATTCTACCCAACCTGAATGGTATCACACTAAGAAAACTGATCTAGATTATAAATTAATATACTACAACCAGTATATGGTATATCCGGAATACAGAAAAAAGGCATAGCTCTTTCCAGTTCTAAAAAGATTATGACTTTTAAATATCTACACACAAATCAAAAAACAGTGCCTGTTCAATATACTTATAATTCCTATAGTTTTAGGGAATTATTCCCTAATAGTTTCACTAACCTCCAAAGGCTTCTGTGATAGCCATGCTTTCAATCCCACCACCTAGGAGTTTACTGGAAGGAAGAAAAAAACTTAAAATCATGGGATGTATAGGAGTGAGACTGGCCAAGCCAGGGGGAGAATCAAATGAGGAATTAATCTGGAATTCCTACATGGGCAAAAGAGGGCAAAATCTGACTTCCCTTTGGAATGCCATTGAACCTTATCTAGTCTCACCCAGATACAAATCTGGGTAAGACGATTCCTGCCTATAGGCTTGAGCAATAAAACACCTAATTGAACTCCTAAGTGAACTCTTCACATGTGGATCTGATTGCTTGCATCTGACAGAATGGGAGCTGATGGAGTATATATCTAGGACACTAGGAATAATTTATTGCTTAACAGAAAAATGAGATTAAAATGTAACTTTAACAATACCAAGAGATGGTAGTAAAATCAGTTATTTACTTGATACATGATATTACAAAGGAGAGAACTGTAAAATAGTGTGGATATTAATCAGAATATTCCCTTTTGTTTTTTTTTTCAGAACTTTATTTATAATCCAAAGCAACCATTTAAATTTATTAAACTTGTACCCCATTACAATCTAGTGATTCTCAGTTGTTTATATAGTACACTATATATTAATTTAATTAATTTTAAAATAGCTTGTTCTTTAATAGGCAGAATAGGCAATATTGTACTGGGGAAGCAATAAAGACAGTCAGATGAAACTAAATTAGAATCGAAACAATAACAAAAGTCTAAACATGAAGAAAATGAAAAAATAGGGTTATGGGGCTGTCAGTTTACTAACTCGAATTCCTGGCTTCCAGTGGTAATATGGAATACCATCTTTCGCTTTTCACTATACTCAAAAGCAGTCAGAAACCCTGGTTCCTGGGGAAAAAGTTGGAAGTGTTTAATATGTCTTGATGTCATTTAAGATTTGTAAATTGCTTTATACACTGAACACATAATGCAAGTCATAAAAGCAAGCAAATATACTATCTTTGATCAAAACTCCTAGCCATGTAGTAGTGATAGCAGTATATAGGTAGTCCTTGCCTTATAACTATTTAGTGTCCGTTCAAAGTTACAACAGCACTGAAAAAAGGGACTTATGACCATTTTTCACACTTAACTGTTGCAGCATCTCTGTAGTCACATGATTAAAATTCAGACATTTGGCAATTGATTCACATTTATGATGGTTGCAGTATCCCAGGGTCATGTGATCACATTTTGCAACCTTCTGACAAGCAAAGTCATAGGGAAGCCAGATTCATTTAACATCTGTGTTACTAACTTAACAACTGCAGTGATTCACTTAACAACTGTGGCAAGGCAAGTCATAAAATTATTTATCATCATTAAATCTGTATGGGTTTGCACTACGCCAGACAGATCCGGTGTACAACTTGGGGGTCCTCCTAGACCGGAAGGGGAGGATTCGATGCCACTAGCTCGACATGGCCAGTAGGGGACAGCCTTCTCGCCACTCCCACTCCTTGCTGCCAACTTGCTGCTGCCATCTCTTTGCATGACATGTTAACACCGTAAATTCACTGCGGGGACAACTCACTCTGGGCGCTGGATGCAGAACCAGGTGGGTCATATACAGAGTGCTTTCATTATGTTTCTGGTCATGTGCAAAATGCTTCTCTCCATAAAGCCGACCAGGCAATAATTTTTTTATAGTTATACAGGTATTTCTCAACTTACAACAGTTCATTTAGTGACCATTTGAACTTACAATGACACTGAAAAAGGTGACTGGGTTACCATGTTAACAACTGCAGTGATTCACTTAACAACTATGGCAAGAAAAGTCATAAAATGGGGCAAAATTCACTTAACCTGACTTGATTAGAACAGAAATGTTGGGCTCAATTGTGGTCGTAAGTAAGGATTACCTGTATTCTGTTTACAGGATCATTTCAGATTGCTGAGCTGAACTAATGAATTTGGATTTATTCTAGGGTTTCACCATTTGTTTACTATGACTAGACATTCCAAAATTTGATTCCATGCAGCAAACTATCAAAACATGTGCTAAAGTAAATTAAGGATATGTATTAGGTTGAACCATTTGATTGATTTGTAAGGTGATCGAACCAAAGCATGATCTAAGGGAGACTGAATCCAAATTACTTTAGAACAATTTGCAAAAACCAATTTTGTCACAACTGTCCATTTTAAGAAAAATGGTTCAATGGGGAGAATAGGGAAAAGGTATTAGTGCCTGGAGACTATGGGGGCCTAGATGGGGAACAACAGGGTCTGACTGAACCTTGGAAGACCGAATGTGTTTGGGTGCATGGACTTCAAGATCTTGGGCTTTGACAGCTGGATAGGGTGGCACTATCCAGACAGACCTAGTCTGCCACTTGGTTCTCCTGTACTCAGGATTCCTGCTGAAAAAGCAGGTGGCAGGTGGAGCTAGGAGAGTCTTTGCACAATTTTGGGTTGTGTGCCAATTGTGGCCTTTCCTGGATCAGGTGCCCTGCACTCAGTCATTCAAGCCCTGGTCGTCTCAAGCTTAGATTACTGGAATGTAGTCTACATGGGGCTACCCTTGAAGATCATTTAAAAGATTCAACTGATGAGAGTGTGGCGGTGCAGGCAGTCTTTGGAGCCCCTAAAGTAGCCCATGTTACACCACTGTTACGAGTGCTGCGCTGCTTCCAATTCAAGGTATTATTATGTATAAAGTCCTCATGTTATGGACTAGTTGAGGAACCATCTCATCCAATGGTGGGATTCAAATACCTGAACAACCAGTTCTCTGCGTGGACGCCAGAAGTCCGTTCTGACTCAGGCAGGCCTCCCAGGCCCAGAACAGCCCACCGAAAGTGCGAACTGGGTGGCAAACAACTATAATAGTATAGTATAGTATATAGTATAGTATAGTATAGCATAGCATAGCATAGCATAGCATAGCATAGCATAGCATAGCATAGCATAGCATAGCATAGCATAGCATAGCATAGTAATATCATATCATATAATGGAATACTCTCACCACCATCATTAATTTCTAATAACTGAATAATTTTATTACAATCTCCAATCTTGAGAGCTTAGTAATACAGTGCAAGTCAGTGTCAAATCTTAGTGCTTTTTGCTGGTTTTTCTGAGGAGCGAGAAAAGAGAAAGAATTATCAAACCAAAACCAGGAAAGTGGACCATGGACTGCATTTCTTACGCGGACGCTTGGCAAGAGATGGGCTGCACCTCACGACAACAGGGAAAAATGTACTCAGAAAAAGACTGGCCCAACTCATTAGAAGGGCTTTAAATTAAAATTGAGGGGGAAGGGTGACCAATCAGTAGAATCTCTAGAACACAAAACCAAGCATAAATCCCAAGAAAATAAATCAAACAAAGAGGTAGGGAGTGATGAGAAAAAAGAAAAAATCAAACAACAATCAGGAGATCCAGGAAACATACCCATGGACAGACATAAAAAGTCTTAAATGTTTATATACTAATGCTCAAAGCTTGGAGAACAAACAGGGTGAATGGACTCATGGATGGATACAAATTGTTCAAAACAAACAGAACTACAAAAATAAGAGGGGGAGTTGCACTATATGTAAGAGAATACTACATATCTACAGAAATGCACACGATCAAAGATAAAAGCCCTCCAGAATCTATATGAGTCAATACAAAAGGAAAAGGGGTATACTACAGACCACCCAACCAATCAGAAGAAATAGATGGACTCTTTGCCAACCAGTTAACAAATGTATATAGGAAGCATACCACAGTAGTAATGGGAGACTTCATCTACCCAGATATCAGCTGGGAGACAAACTCTGCAGCAAGTAGGAGATCAAACAGATTCCTAACCAAACTACCTGACAACTTTGTCATCCAAAAGGTAGAGGAGGCAACTAGAAGTAAAGCTATACTGGACCTAATTCTTACTAATAGAGAAGAAGTGATGGAGTTGAAGTTGCCAGAACTTTGGGTGAAAGTGACCATGTCATACTGGAATTCAATATAATGCAAACACAAGCAATAGAAAATAATTCAACCAATGTCTTAAACTTCAAAAGAGCTGATTTTAACAAACTCAGAGAGAACCTAGGAAAGATTCCATGGATGAAAATCCTAAAGAGGAAAACAGCTCAGGAAGCATAGGAAATTCTGAAAAATGCTTTCTTAAAAGCCCAGTCCAGCACAATACTACTGAAAAAGAAAAACAAGAAAGTCAAGAAGAAACCAGCATGGCTGCACAAAGATCTCTCAGACAAACTGAAAGACAAAAAGGACAAGTACAAAAATGGAAACAGGGACATATAATTAAGGCTGATTATCAGCAGACAGCCAGAACATGCAAAGACGAAGTCAGGAAAGCAAAGGTTCAGAATGAACAAAGACTTGCAACAGAAATCAAGGATAATAAAAAAAAGTTTCTTCCAACATATTAACAAGAAAAAAGTCAAGGAAACTGTAGATCCACTAAAGAGAGAAGATGGCAAGGAAGTAACAAGCAATAGGGAGAAAGCAGAGCTGCTTACCTCATTCTTTGAATCAGTCTTCACACAAAAAGAAATTATAGCACAACATACCAAAAACAAAATACTGTAAAAGACAAACTAGAAACAAAAATTAAAATAAGCAAGAAAATGGTAAGAGAACATCTATCTGACCTTGATGAATATAAATCAGGACCCAACAGATTACATCCTAGAGTTCTGAAGAAGCTGGCAGATGTTATCTCAGAATTATTGCACTATGTCTTTCAAAAATCCTGGAAAACCAGGGAAGCACCTGAAGATTGGAAAAAAACTGATGTGGTTCCCATCTTCAAGAAAGGGAAAAAAACAGACCCAGGAAACTACAGACCAGTCAGTCTAACATCAATACCTGGGAAGATCCTGGAAAAGATAATCAAAAACAGATCTGCGAACAACTAGAAGCAAACAAAATTATAACTGGTAGCCAGCAAGGGTTTGTTAAAAACAGATCATGCCAAACCAATCATTTCATTCTTTGATAAAGTGACCAAATTAATAGACTAGTGAAACGCTGTGGACATAATATACTTAGATTTCAGTAAGGCATTCAACAAAGTAGATCACAGCTTGGTAAGCTAGAAAAAGGTGGAATAGACAACATCATCACCAGATGGATTTGTAGCTGGCTGACAAACTGTACTAAACGAGTAGTCCTCAATAGTACTACATCCATATGGAGAGAAGTAAGCAGTGGGGTACCGCAAGGCTCCGTCTTAGGTTCAGTACTCTTCAATATCTTTATCAATGACTTAGATGAGGGAATAGAAGGGGAACTAATCAAATTTGCAGATGACAGTAAACTAGCAGGAATAGCCAACACCCCAGAAGACAAGCTCATGATTCATAAAGATCTTGACAAACTTAATCAATGGGCCCTATCCAACAAAATGAGTTTCAGTGTGGAGAAAAACAAAGTCTTATATTTAGGCAAGAAAAACGAAAGGTACAAATACAGATTAGGTGAGACCTGGCTCAAAAACAGTAACCGTGAGAGGGACATTGGAGTTCTAGTGGAAAATCACTTGACTATGAGCCAGCAGTGTGCAGCAGCAGCCAAAAAAGCTAGTACAATCCTGGGCTGAATAAACAGAGGCATAGAATCAAGATCACGTGAAGTATTAATACTGCTTTATAAAACTCTAGTGAGACCAGACCTGGAATACTGCAACCAGTTTTGGTCACCATACTACAAAAAAGATGTTGAGAACTTGGAAAAAGTTCAGAGAAGAGCAGCTAAGATCATCAAAGGCCTGGAGACTAAAACATATGAAGAACGGCTGCAGGATTTGGGTTTGGCTAGTCTAAAGAAAAGAAGAAATGGGGTGACATGATAGCAGTGTTCCAGTATTTGAGAGGCTGCCATAAATAAGAGGGGGTCAAATTATTCTCCAAAGCAACAGAAGGCAGGACAAGAAACAATGGATGGAAACTAATCAAGGAGAGAAGCAACCTGGAATTAAGAAGAAACTTCCTAACAATGAGGACAATTAACCAGTGGAACAGCTTGCCTCCAGAAATCATGAGTGTGCCATCACTGGAGGTTTTTAAGAAGAGACTGGACAGTCACTTATCTGAAATGATACAGGTTCTCCTGCTTTAGCAGAGGGCTGGACTAGAAGACCTCCAAGGTCTATTCTATTCTATTCTATTCTATTCTATTCTATTCTATTCTATTCTATTCTATTCTATTCTATTCTATTCTGTTCTGTTCTATTCTATTCTATATGCTTGCCTAGAAAATTTGGTATATTCAAGTTTAGTGAATCACATACAGATAGTCCTTGACTTATGACTAGTCGCTTAGTGATCATTCAAAATTATGATGGATCTCCCTGGTGGAATTTACAACCTGGATTTAAAGTTCCAATGGCCAAACACACACATACACCCATTTGCAGTTATATGATTGTGTTTTGTTTTTATGTTTTTCCGAAAACAAGCATTTATTTCTAGTTTTTTGCAAAACTAGTCCATGGAGAGCCATTGGTTTGCTTAATGACTGTGGTGTTTACTTAATGATCACCACAAAAAAAGTAATTAAATCTGCTTGGTCACATGAATGACCTAATTTACAAACATCGCAAATTACAACCATATTGGAGAGCCTTCATTAGAGTTGTAACTCGAGGATTAAACAATACTTATTAGTGTTTTTAGTTATTATAATTTCTATAAATACAGATATATGTTGGTTATTATTATTGTAATATTTATCTTAATTGTTTCTATATTATAATGAAGAATGAGTGAGAAATGTTGGAAAAAGCAGAGAATGGGCAAAAGTCATGTCAAAAAATTACAAACAAATAACAATGTAAAAAAATAGGATCAGTTGGAAAACTGGAAATCAGAACTAATGAGAAAACTCAAGGCTAAGGAGGTAATACTGTAACAACAACTTTGAGATTCCCAAGAAAATGGCTAAGAAATGGCTAAAGAAAAAGAAAATGGCTAAAGTGTAGCTAAGAAATTCGTTAAAACTTACAATTAATCAAATTCCAAGGGACCAACATATGTCACATAAAAGTTTCACCCAATGTTGCCAAACAGGAAATAAAAATTCATTATAGCCATTGTTCATTTGTAATCACTGTCCATAGATTATTTGTTTTCAGAAATGTTTCTCTTAGAATATATTAATTACACCTGTTTAACTGGTTTTAAATTATATTGAAAGTAATGAAGATTTTTATATATAGGTAGTCCTCTACTTATGACCACATCTGAGCCCAAAATTTCTATTGCTAAGCAAGATATTCGTTAAATGAATTTTGCCCCATTTTGTGACCTTTTGTGCCAAAGTTGTTAAGTGAACCATGGCAACATGGTTATTAAATGAACATGGCTTTCCTATTGACGTTGTTTGTCAAAAGGTTGCAAAGAATGAGCGTATGATCCCGGGACACTGCAACCATCATAAATATAAACCAGTTGCCAAGCATCCAAATTTTGATTATGTGACCATGGGGATGCTGCAACAGTCGTAAGAGTGAACACTGGTTATAAGTTATTATTTTCAGTGCTGTTGTAACTTTGAACAGTCACTAAATGAACAGTTGTAAGTTGAGAACTATCTACATTCTCAGGCTTCCAGTAAGAAATAATTATAAAGAAAATCTTGAGGGATAATTTGCTTACTATAAGTTTGTTGGCTGCTTCTTTTATCTTCTCTACTTTGGCTTCAGAAAGTCCCTTCACATTACATAATGCCCGCTTAGTTGTCATCTGAATCCCTTTGATTGTGCAAATTCCTACTGATTTCAGCTTCTTAATATCTGCTACATTCTATGAAGGAAATAAACATGGTCTAAAGTAGTGATATTAATAAAATTTTATATTTGAAAACTTAACCATATTTTTATCAAAATGAGAAGAATTTGTGGTAATGCTGGTAATAATTTATTTTAATATATATATATATATATATATATATATATATATATATATATATATGTGTGTGTGTGTGTGTGTGTGTGTGTGTGTGTGTTTTCTGAGGTTTTCGCGGGTATTTGTATGTAGGTCTTTGGTTGTTCGGGTTTTCTCCCGCGTAAAATTGGAAGTGTCTTGGCGACGTTTCGACGAAGTCCCATTCGTCATCTTCAGGCTGGTGTTTTCAGCTTCGTGCTTTGAGCAGCAATGTGTGGTCTTAGCTGTTTCTTCCTTTTAACTGCCAGTGGGGGTATGAACTGATTGGGTGGGAGCTTGGCTGTGTTCTGATTGGGTGGAGGTGTGTTCTGAATGGTTAGGGGCTTGGCTGTGCTCTGATTGGCTGGGGGAGTGTTCTGTTTGGTTGTGCTCAGGTTAGTCTGAGTTGCAGAGGGGTTTAAGATTTTGGGCTGCCTTGCTATTTTTTGGCTTCGCGTTCGTGGTCGTGCCTCCTCTTCATGGAGGGTGTCAGTTTGCTTCATGTATGGATTGGAGGGTTTTAAAGTGGCTAATGATGCAGCTGTGGTCTGGCTTCTGGTTTGTGGTCGTGCCTCATCATCGGTGTGGCTTTGGGTTTGCTTTTTGCGTGGATGTGTGGTGGTGACATCCTGTGTGGTTTTTGTGAGTGTGGGTCTGGTATCATTTTTTGTGTTAGGGAGTCGTTTGTCAATAAGGGCGGGTTTTCAAATGGCTGGTAGGCGGGAGGTATCATTTTGCTTGTTCATGCTGTGTGGGCGTTTTTCTATCTCGATGGCTTCTCTGATTATTCTGTTATTGAAATGTTCACTTTTGGCAATGGTTCTGGTATTTTTAAAGTCAATTTCATGTCCTGGTGTCACATATGAGCAAATAAAGGGCACGCCCATGGGCTCTCCTATTTCCAGCGTGATAGCAGAGGCAGTTCTCCAGCAACTGGAACGTGAGGCTATGTCCCAGTACCAGCCCAAATTTTGGGCTCGGTACATTGACGACACGTTTGTTGTCGTCAAACGATGCCAAAAAGCCAACTTTATGGGAATACTCAATTCGGTTTATCTGGATATTAGGTTTACGTTGGAGGAGGAGAACCGGGGCTCGATAGCCTTCTTAGATGTACTTGTCCAACGAACACCAGAGGGCTTAGTACATATGAAGGTCTATCGCAAGCCCACCCACACGGACCGAATCCTCCACTATAACAGCAACCACCCAGTATCCCATAAAGTTGGCTGTATTAAAACGCTGTTCAAGCGTGTGCATTCGCATTGCAGCACGGTGGAAGCAAAGGAGGAAGAGAGGAGACATTTGTACCGGATTTGCCAACTCAATGGATATCCGCTATGATTCATAAAACATCACAGCAGGATACCCAGGTATGACCACCAAGAAACTCCCCCCCAAGGACAATTAACACGCATTTCCCTACCGTATATTCATAACGTGTCTGAAGCCACAGCCAGACTGCTGGCCCCCCATGGCATAAGAGTGGCACATAAACCTGACCAGACTCTGCGATCAAAGATCATGCGCCCCAAAGATCCCCTTCCCACCGCAGAAAGGTCTGCGGTGGTTTATAAAATTGATTGCATGGGTTGCCACAGTAATTATGTAGGGGAAACATCAAAAAGGCTGAAGACCCGCCTACATGAACATAAGTTGGCAATCAAGAGGGGCGAGCAATACTTGCAGATCTGGTCACATATGGCCGAAAGTGGCCATAACTTTGATTTTGACCACACACAAATCTTGGCCTGTGATGCCACAAAGGGGGGCTGCCTATTAAAGGAGGCCTGGTTTTCGGGGGGAAATTCCATTAATCGCCATATAGACATGTGCCCGGCACAACGGACCTTACAAACATGGCACATGAACCGTCGCTTGAACTGCTGGAGAAGACCTAGGCATCGACCACATGTGTGGGAGAAGAATAGGACATCCCCCCACACACAACACGACCAAATGGACATTCCCTTGGCTTCGGACCAAGACGGTAGAACTTTGAAAAATCCCCCACAAATGACAAACAGCCACCAGAAACCTGACTGTCAATTATGGAACAACTTCCCGATGAACGGAGCAAGTGGAGTGGAGGTGCTTTGACAACTGAATTGCAGCAGGAAAGAGAGAGCGAGGCCCTCCCAATCAGTTCAATAGGAGAAATACGAACGGAGATAACAACTGTGGGGGGAGGAATAGGAAATACAGCATACGATAGAGCGCTCGGACTACAATCACACATGCTGGGGGGAATGATTTACCCCCCGGGGAGTGAAACAGACACCCTCGTTACGCTAGTTGGACTGGTTTGTGAGAGGGAGGGGAATAGCTCTGTGGTGATTGATCCCTTGGGAGGACAAAAGACTACGAACGGAGCATGCCTGGGAGATTCTCCGATGAGGGATGAGGACAGAAGCCCCAAATGGAGTGAGCAATGGATTGACCGGTTACGAGCTAGGCAATGCCTTACTGACAGGCACACACTCCAGAACGACTCCTCCCAAGAATATAGGGAGGAGAGTGATGATAGATCTAAGGGAGTGATGGAAAGGAATAGGAGGGAGAGCGGTGCAGGACAGGATGGCACACGGGGGCTACGATCTGAGAGAAAAGGAGGATTGGAACGTGGCTCGGAGGGGATGGTTGGAGGAACTAGAAGGAAGCAGAAAACAGCAACTACTGCCCATGACAGACAGAATCACAAATGGGAAACTAGTGAAACATGCACTAACTACAAGGAAAGGGGAAATACCCCAGCTAATTTTAGAACTAGCGAGAAAGACACACGTAACAGCACACGTAGAAAGGGTGAGAAACAACTACACCCTAATGCAGGACACACACTTGGATTACAACGCACACAGCTGGGACCTATGACACGATCCAAGAGCCGAGCGCAAATGATTGGAGGCTGCATATAAGCCCTCCCAATGACTGCTGTTTACACCCTGATGATGTCAAGAGCTCTTGACGAAAGCTAAGTTTAGTAAATAAAAGTTTTAACATTTTTAACTTTTGTATAATTCTCTTGGTGTTCAACTATTTATTGATTTTAATATATATATATATATATATATATATATATATATATATATATATATATATATATATAAAAGCTGAGGCTTCGTTGTAAAAAACATCATGATGTTAAGGGTAGATGTCAGAATGGTGGAGAAGGGGAAGGCCATAAACTCACAGAGAGTTCAAAGGAAGAGAGAAGGGGGAGACGACTTAGTGGTGGGGATGACATCTCGAGTTGGAATAAGATCAAGGATCCTCCTAGACCACGGATATGGATGAGTGGAGAGTCGGAGGCTTGTTTAAACTCTGATGAGGGACGCATGATACAAGTAGATGAGTCACTCAATCATGCAGCAATTACAGGGAATGCTATGATTGGCCGACCTGGACCTATCACACGGTCCAAGAGTCGAGCGCAGGCGTTAACTTACATATAAATGTTCACTCCCACTGATTTGTGTACGCCCTGATGAAGTTGGCAGGAGCCAACGAAAGCTAGGTTGCTAATCTTTTAAAACTTTTAATGTTTTTATTTAAAACTTCTGTTTTATATTAAAACTTTTAATGTTTAACTTTTCCTGATGATCATATTTTATTCTCACCATATATAAAATTAACAGAAAAAATAAAACAAAGGAAAAAGGAAAGGAACAGATCCATAGTAGTATAATTTCAATCTTATGTTATCTTAATCTTTAAAATTAATATTATTATTATTACTGTTGTATAAGCTTTACATGGATGTCAGGATTTAAATGAACAGTCAAATGATGAGATTTGATATAGTGATTTTTAAAAAATGGAAAAAATATGTCTTTTTTAAAAAATCAAGCATTCGTTCTTTTTTTCCCCCTCTTTTTTTTCTGGTGATTGGTTTTTGTATAGCATTCATTATGTTATGATAATCATGAATACAGCATATTTCCCTCACTACAAGGGGGAAGTAAAACCAATTAGCAACTCAGAATATAGAACAAAACCCATCTCAAATATTGGAACTCTCCTTTTGTAGTCAATTATAAGGGCAATGAATTTATTGCAAAAGAAAAAAACCCAAGGGTACCTAACAAGGCTCTCATAATAACATCTTGTAGCCAGGATGTTATTACGAAGAACACCTTTTCTTGTCTACTTGTCTAACAAGTAAGGCTACTTGTCTCAATTTACTAGACTTGGGATGGGGTACATGCTATACTGATTTATGCTGGATTATATTATTTTTATATTTGGTAATTACTCTAGTGAGATTTTTAAAGCCAGTTTTAAGGAATATAAATTGAATTCAAATGGTGGCTTTATAAACCAGGATCCTCCAACTAAATATTACTTTGTAGATGTTTTAGTAGCAAACACCCCAAAATATTCTATCATCCCTATCTGTGGAAATTAAAATAACAGTCCAACACATCAGGAAAGCACTAATTAGATTGCTGATGGCTGCTATAAATATTATACCACATTGACTGCTGTGGCAATATTAGCCTGTTAAGAGATAGAACTGAAATTAGTTCAAATCATATTGAAAAGAGTAATTTTCCTTGCTCAAAATTCAGGATATGAGAATCATGCCTTAATACGGGGTAATCCAACCTAATAAGACTTTTCCAACAGTGAGATATAGGAATATTAAGCAGATGACAGATTTTGCATCTGGAAGTCAGGAATATACTATAAATCTGAAAATAATCCTAGTTAGACAGATGACAGGCTAGCCCCTTGTGAAAGCATTCCTGATTTGTATGTTATATGTTTATATTAGCTACACACTAAAGGCCATATGCTATAACAATATGTACAAGCCATGTTTTCCAAGTTTTTGAATACAACTTCTTTTCTATCAAGAACTATATTCCTTTGTGGTAATCCATTGCTTTCCAAGGCCAAATACTGGTGGAGAGTTGTTGACATCTTCAGCACCATTTATTTTTTCCAAGTTCATTTATTTATGAACCCTAAGTATTTGGTGTTTTAAGATAATTACTATACAGGATTATAATTTGTATCTCAATTGCTGGGTAAATAGTTCATAGGTATCTTCAATGTTTACTTTTTTCTGACAAAGGCAGAAAAATGTTCTGAAATGATATAGCCAGAATGAATCTATCTGTCTGTCTGTCTGTCTGTCTGCCTGCCTGCCTGCCTGCCTTTCTTTCTCAAACTTCTTTACAGCCCATCTCCCTCATAGAGGTGATTCATCTAAATTTATATGCAAATTTAGTAGACAAATGGTTTGTAGTTTGTAAATATTCTTTGGAATGATGTCTTGCGTCTTGTCAACCTAATCTTGTCGACACCAGGTGAAACCAGTGTTGCAGATTTCATCCCTCTTCCACCAATAAATGTGTGCAGGAGGCAAAGTTATAACTCTGTATGCATTTATGTATGTATAGGCTCACTGCCATAATCCATACATCAAAAAAAGGCATGGTCAGGAAAAGACAGTTTTATCTAATAGTTAAGGTGCCAGGCTAGAAACCAGGAGACTGTGAGTTCTAGTCCCACCTTAGCCATGAAAGCTGCCTTGAGCTATTTATAAAAAATGGGATTTTTAAAAAATCTAATAAATAATTACTTGCCTTAAAATATGATATTCCCTTTACAATATTCATTTATATCAAGTATTCTTTCTCACACTAGCCATTCTCTCTCTCTCACATGCAAACCACTTTCACAAAGATACAGATAAAGGCAAACATATGCACAACCTCCTCCTTTTAGCACAAATAGAAGAAAAAAGTTTTAAGATAAATATAAGTGAAAACAATAAAAGAGGCAGAATCATATTTATGCGTATCAAAAGGGTTTACATCTATTGAGAAAACATCCATTTTTGTTCTTGTTATGGTATTGTAATTTTATATTGAGCTTTTCAAATTAGAATAAAAATATAGGTTGTCTTCCCTCAACTAAATAACCAGATGTGGATTAATCCCTGAATGTACTTACAATTCCATGCTTCTGTAACAGATCAATGTCCTGGAAAAATGATTCCTGTAACATGAGGACAGAATATTGGTTATTTTATTTATTTACATATTTATATTCATATTTTTAAACTGCTCATCTCTTTCGGAGAGGGACTCTTCACAGTGTACAATAAAATATAACCTTATAAATAAAACCTTGTATAAAAATTTAAATTAAATTACGGTAAAAAATTTTACAATTATAGAATAATGACAAATGCCAAAAGGGAAAAAGGAAAAAAAAAAATCATAAGATGGCGATGTCAAGATGGTTATTACAGTTGTGTGTATATGGAAAGGGGGGCGGGGTTCTCATGGGACTAGCCAGCACTACAGTTGCATGTTTTTCTGTGCCTCCCCCTCAAGGCTGCAGAGCCAAGTTTTAGCCCCTTTGCAGAATGTCAAAATACTGGGGGTTTGCTTTCCTTACCTCTGGCAATAGGATGTTCCATAAAACGGGACAGTGGCCAAGAAGGCTTTCTTCCTAAACCCCGCCAATCAAAATTCTTTCACTGCTGGGGCCTACAGTGTACCTACTCTGCCTGATTGAGTGAGACAGGCTGATGAGATGAGGCGAAGCCGGTTCTGTAGGTAATTTGGTCCTGTGCCATGTAGGACTTATAGGTGATGACCAATACCTTGAATTGGACCCAGAAGAAAACAGGTACAATTCATGGAGCAAGTTTATTATATGTGCCTTTCTTTGGGTACTTGATATGGCCCATAGGGCCACACTTTGCATCAGTGAAACTTCCAAATACATTTCAGGGATAGCCCCATGTAGAGCACATTGCAGTAGCCCAATTGGGAGATGACCAGGGCATGAATGATTGAACATAAAGCTTCCCTGTCCAGGGAAAGGCATAATTGGTGCACAATGTGGAATTGGGTAAAGACACTCCTGGTCATGGCCACCACCTGCTTTAGAGCAGGAGTTGCAAGTCCAAGAAGACTCCCCAGGTCTGACTGGGGTAGTGCAACTCCATTCAAGGCCAGGGATAATAAATTCCTGGAAACAGAATGAACCACCCACTCCATCTTACTATGGTTCAGTTAAAGTCTGTTGTTACCCATCCAGACTTCCACAGCATTCAGGCATTGTGAAAGGACAAAGGGGCCATGAACTGGACTTTTCACTTCCTATCAATACCAATTGGGGCTGGTCTTGGAGGAAGGAGGGGAAACAGCACAAAACTGTGCTACCCAACCCCAACTTCTGAAGTTGACCCAAAAGGATACCATGGTCAATGGTATCGAAAGCTGTTGAGAGGTCAAGGAGAGCAAGGATAGAAGCACTGGCACCATTTTACTCCCATCAGACATCATCCATGAGTGTGACCAATGCAATTTCAATCCAGTTTCTGGGCCTGAGACATGACTGAAAAGGATCCAGATAATCTGTTTCCTCTAGGATCCTCCGATTGTTGGATTCTCGGCTACTTTCTTAAGGATAGGTGGGAAACTGGATGAAAATTGTCCAACATGGATGATCCAACAATGGTTTCTTGAGTAGGGGATAGACAAGCACCTCTTTAGAAGGAGCCAGCAATATCCCCTCCAACAAGGATAAATTCACCAATGTATGGACTCATCCACATGACACATTTTGATATTTTTCAACCACTAATCTATCTAATTACCTGTGGGAAAAAGTAAAGTATATCTTAAGTATATTTAGTAGTGTGAATCGAGAATATCCAAGTTATAGATTGCCCTACTTAGCACAATCATCCCATCCAAAGAAATCACAGGAACGAGTTGACAATCTCGATGAATAAATGCAAACTCCATCTTATTTGGGTTTTATGTTCAGGCTGTTTCTTCCCATCCAAGTCTCAAGTTTTTAACTTAGTTTACAGTCCTGATACCTCCTTAGATACCAAGTCCAATCCTGTTTAACTCTTTGCTCTTAGCTGAGGTCACCTGCCTGTTGCCAACTGACTCTTAGTCTTTTGATGCTGATAAGCAATGGCAATATATAGAAATAGATCTACATTTAATTTATTATTTATAGATGGACTATCCATTTTACTACATTTCTTATATGGAATTTTATCAAGGGACAGCTTACATTGAAATTACTACTGAATCAAATATACTTCCATACCTCTTCATCTTGGTATCCTAGTTCTTCTTGTACAACTTGGTCTTCTAGAGATTTCATTGTGAAAACAGAACTAATAGAATTCAGTCAGTGCTGCAGAAATCAATTCAATACTGCTAAAAAGCATAAATAAGTAATTATTTTATGAGTTTTTGATGTTTACCATATTATGCTAGTCTAGAGGGGGCTAAGTAGATTGCTGAAATACATAAACTCAGATGAATTTCATTCAAAAATAAATATATCATCCACTAGTACAGTGATCTGAGCTCTGAAACATTGATTTAAATCCTTTCCAAGTAGAAGATTCAAAAGGAGAAAAAATTAAAATTTTTAAAAGAAACAAACAAAATAAAAGAGTTGGAGCTGCATTGTACAGTATATAAGAAATACCTACCCCTCTACAGAAATAGAGCACAACAATGATGAAAACTGTCCTGAATGCATTTGAGTCAATATAAAAGGGGGAAAATGACATTGCCATAGTGTAATACTATAGGCCACCCAACCAAACAAAGGAAATAGATGAATTTAGAATAGAATAGAGCTGGAAGAGACCTTGGAAGTCTTCTAGTCCAGCCTCCTGGAGAACCTGTATCATTTCAGACAAATGACTGTCTAATCTCTTCTTAAAAATCTCCAGTGATGGAGCGCCCACAATTTGTGAGGGCAAGCTGTTCCACTGGTTAATTGTCCTCACTGTTAGGAAGTTTCTCCTTAATTTCAAGTTGCTTCTCTCTTTGATCAGTTTCCAATCATTGGAATCAATGGGTCAATATAAAAGGGGGAAAAAAGTGACATTGTCATAGGGGTATACTACAGGCCACCCAACCAATCAGAAGACTCTTTGCCATCCAGTTAACAAATGTACTACCACAATAGTAATGGGAGACTTCAACTATCCAGATATCAGCTGGGAGACAAACTCTGCAGTGAGTGGGAGATCAAACAGATTCCTAACCAACTTACACATCCAAAAGGTAGAGGAGGGAACTAGAAGTAAAGCTATATTGGAACTAGATTGTATGTTCAGTCTGCAGATGGCTGGTTCTGTTCCTTTGAGAATAGAATCTCCTATTACCAACATTCGCCTTCCTTTTTGGGGGGCGGGGGGGTTAAATCTGGGGTGCTTTTCTATTTATCTCAGGTGTATTTGTTGATGTGACTTTTTAAGGGATATTTGGTGATGATTCTTTGCTAAGTGTCTGCATGTTTTCTTTGAGGGGAGGTTGTGGGTCTGAATATTTCCATCTAGGGGGAGAAATTGATTGCTCAGTTTTAATGGGGCTGCTTCTGGTTGGGTTAGATTGGGCAGTAGGAGTTGTTAGATGTATACTGCTTCTTTCTTTGATTATTGTATTTCCTTCTATGTGTGACATACCTCCATTTTTCTTCAGCCAAGGGTTTATCAGTAGGGTCAAATCCTCTGAGAGTTATTTGTTCATTATTTAGTTCGGTTTGGGTATATAGTCTGCATCTGCATACAGACAGGAGGTTGAACAACTAGCATTGTGGTGCAGCTGGAACAATCTTAAACTGAACATACTCAAAACTGTAGAAATGATAGTAGATTTTAGGAGAAACCCCAGTGGTGAGATTCAAATAATTTAACAACCGGTTCTCTGCAGGAGGGGAAGCGGGGGGGTGCTGCCACGAGGCAGGTGGGGGAGGGGGCAGCTGTCCCATGCTCCCCGCTTACCGTGCCACTTGACATGTCGAAGGGCCCCTGTAGCCAGGCCTACCACGCCCCAATATCTGTTGCGCCTCGCCTGTTCGGTAGTGACTTTTCTCACTTGCCTCTGGGGCTGCTGCTCACCTTCCTCCTCATGCACGCCTGCTATGCACTCACCCATCAGCTGTGCTCTCCGTGCCACAGATCAGCTGCAGTGTGCTGTGAAGACCATGGCTGACTTGGGCTAGGCAGATGCACACACACTCTGCTGTTTTTGATGGCTCTTCTTGCCGCTGGGGCTGCCACTTGCCTTCCTCCTTCACCAACTTCTAGTGCACGGGGAATCTGCACTGCCTGCCTCCCCCCCCCCCCGTGCCTTCACTAAATCGGCTAGAAATGAGGTTTAGCAGGCCGAGTGTGCAGGCAGAGGCACAGGGGAAGATAGGCGGTGCAGATTCCTTTTTTTAATAATATATTTTATTAATTTTTATCATGGTCACCTTAATATTCAGTAAACAGTGTGTTGTCTGGGTTTACATTTAAAAAACATTAGCTAACAATTGGTTTCTATAATCTATAATTCACCTAATAGCTTTACTTGATTTCTTCTTCTTTCCATAATGTTCTCTTTTATCAACCTTAAGTTAATACAATTCTTATTGTTTTGATAGATAACAATTGAATATAAAAAAATTTCTAATATTTCCACAAATAATAATCACATCAATATAATATTTCTTTTCTATCTAGTCATTCTGGTTGCCTCATCATAGATCCTGTTTACAGTTCTTATTTACATTTGTTTTCCCACAATGCCCACAATCTTACTGGTTAAGATTTTCTCAAAGTTAGTTTCATTTAAATATTTGATTCTATTTTTTCTCATGTAAACCATCCCATAACTTTTACCTTACTTAAGGAACAAATAAGACTAAAAGAAGAAAAATAGAACAAGAGTAAAGAGGGATAAAAAGATAGTATACTACTGAAAGTCCATGATTCCCCTAAGGTAATACATATTTATTTCTAAAATTTTTCCATTCTTTTTTACCATAATTAAGAATATATTTAATCTTTAAATATTCCATTTAATAAATCTAGTCATCTGGTCTTTTAACTCTTATTCAAAACATTTTCTTTTCAATCCATTGTAATTTTCTTAAAATCAATCACATTTAAATATCTAATATATGTCCTTATATATAAGCCATTCTAACTCTTTTATATTACTCATATCAAGAAATAAGATAAGAAGAGAAGAAAGAGAGATTACTATGTTATTTGAGGGACTCTTCCCTCTTAAAGTAAAATTCATATCAACATCTTTCTATTACTTTAACCATATTCAAACATGTGTTTCTTTTTTAAATATTCTCTCTGATAAGTCCCACCATCTGTTTTCTTAATTTTCACTTTGGCCTTCTTCTTTCGCCCAATATCTTTAATCAATATATTCTGCTGAATCAAAGAGTCTTTCCATATTCTTGTAGGTGTCACTGTAGATATAAAAAATAAGTCAAGTACAATATCTTTGTAAGAGGCAGTTACTCTTTTATGTTTGCTGGAAATCTTTTTATTTCTTTTTCTCTCTGTATCTCTTATCATTTTTGTCTCTCCTAGTGGTGTTCCTGATGTCTCTGCCATCCATTTTGACCAGTCTTTTTTCTTATCCTCAAATTTGTCTTGTGATGTTAAAGTATAAGTTGCCTTTTCCAAAACCAATATTTCTTGTAATTTTTTGCCACTTGAGTTAAATCATACTTTGTTGTGTTAATCTCTATCCTTGAATTTGTGTTCAGTTATCTGCTTTATCTGCTCCTTCTCTATTGTTATTTCCTGGAATTTTTTGTTGTAAAGTTAAATTGGAGATGGTTTATGTTTTCAAAGTTATTTTGGATTTTTTTGTAGTTTGAAGTCATTGAATTGGTTGCAGCATCTCATATGTCTCCTCTTGAAAGGTATTTATTTTTTCTTGATAAGTTCTTTCTGCAAGTCTCTGATTTTCCATAGTGGTCAAGAATCGAGGTTTTCTTTTCTCTACAAATAGCTTTAGTCACAGTTTAGTAGATATTTATAATCCAAAAAGATTCAAAAAAATGTCCTGAAGTTTATAATCCTCTCTTTGTCTGCAGCCCAAATTGTTTTCTTTTTTCCCCCACAGCTGTTCTCTATTGTTATAGCTTTGAAGGTCACAAGCACAGATTAGTTTTTTCCAGTTTTTTCCAAGTCCTGTATAAAAGCCATAGCTGTCATAGTTTTTATTCACCACTAGATGCCAGCATCAGTTTTTTTTCAAATTATCAAAATAGAAAATTGTCTTTAAAATGAGAATCTTAACCATTCAACAATTCCAAACTTATCCAGATTTAGGTTTTATATTCATTTCATTTCATTTCTGTATGTTTTGGTCCTCCATAAAAGGTTTAATTCACTGCTTCCATTAGTAAAAGGGTGGGGCAAAAATCCCCCTCCTTCACATTCAGTAGTTTTTTGCTTCTTGGGAATTTTTTCCCCCAGGAAAGTTAATAAGTAGGATAGAGAAAATCAATGATCTTACCCAGATTCAAACGCGCTGTTTACAATCAGCTTAATAGTCCTTTTTGACTTCGGTTGCTTGTAGCTTGGGCTAGACTTTGAAGTTAGGCTAGCCTTTCTCCTGTTGGTTTCTGGAAGGCTTCTCCTGGACCGATCGGGTGGACCGCCATTTCTCTGTGGTCTGCGGGACTTCTTTGCCACCTCTTTGGGGCGGCTTCTGGCCCATTTAGGGTCCCCTAACAGGAAGAAATTCAGCCAGGGGGCACAAAACCCAGAAATCCCTTGGCTGCTGTGCTACTGCACAAGACTGGAAGTTGGTGGTACAGATTCCTGCTAGGCACCAGGATGGCTTCGGTGGTGCCAATCTTGCCTAGACTGTTGCTGTGGTGCTTGCGACTTGACTTCTTGCTGACTGGCAGAGGTTCCGAGGTGCCCTGGGCTCAAGCCCTCTGGGTCAAGGAATGTGGGTAAGCTACTCCCTGGCTCCTCCTGGGTTTCCATAGATCCTGGATTCAGGCTGCCACAGGGCTATGGCATGGATGGAGGCGCCTCTTGTTGGGTACCAATCGCGCCAGTACTGCCACTTACTATAGGACACCTCGAGGCTCATCACGCCAATTGCGCAGGTGCCGCCGCTTGCTGCAAGAGGCTGTGAGGCTCCGGGCGCAATTGGTATGATGAGCCTTGCAGCCTCCTGCTGCAAGTGGTGGATCTGGCGTGATTGGCGTGATTGGTGTGACGATCTTTGTGGCGCTTCTGTGCCTGGCTGGCCACCTCAGATCAGCTGCAGTGCACCATGGAGAGCACGGCGGATGTGGGGAAGCGTAAGGCAGGTGTGCACATTGACTCCACTTTTTTCAAGTGCCATTTAACTATCGGTTCACCAAACTGAAGATACATTAGGTATCG